GTTCTGTAGGTGGCCATTCCATTAATGTGGTTTATATGTTCGACGATAAATAAATGGAATTAACCTTCTAGACTATATGCAGAACTATATTTTAGTTCATCAATTTGCAGCGTTTTAATAGATATTATGTCCATATTAATGAACGTAACAATACGATCTTGTTCTTGATATTATTATAGTTTTAATTTCTAATAGGTCCCATAAATCGAAAGGCGAATTATAATCATAATATTCTTGAGCGTACACACGTGGAGATGAAAACAAAAAATGCTAAATCAACTACGTCACAACGAAAATTTGGATCAAATTCAATGACTTTCGAACGAGGGACTGTATCAAAATCTGGAATCTTACCAAATGCATCGTGTAAATTAGAAGCTAAGAATACTGCATAAAGAATTTCGAGACGAAAAACGGTTTTCTTTCTTTGAAACGAAGCAGTTATTTATACGTATGTGGCATTGACCTTTACCCATATATTTGTATGTCTTCTTCATATGAAGTATATGATGCATGCATAATGAGGAGCATTTAATTCTCTTTCTATTGATCCTTCTTTGTTACAGTTAATGTGAATGTACTTCACACGTTTATATATTTTAAGTGCTGATAAACTTTGTAGCACTTTGTATTTTAATACCTATACGGTGACTGACTATGTATTGAAACGCCTTTCGAATGCAGTTCGCGATTTGAAACTGTGAACGCTGAACGTAATTCAGCATGACTAGTGAAGTATTATACGGATTGACTGTTCTTAAGGTTGGGACTGTGAAATAGGTGACCTTATTTTTTATTATGCTTATATTTCTTCCTAGAAACAGTGGCCCGATTTAACATTTTTCTACGTGATTCGCACTCGATACTTTTAAGGGTTGGAAGCTACCGTGACCACTTACTATTAACTTGAACTCCGCACGTGTGTTGATACCCAACCACATAGAATAATTCTTTTTTTAAATAAATTAATACCTAGTTTAATAAAACTAAAAGCACTAGAGATGTGACTAGTAGTAGACTAGTTAGCGACTAGGTGATATAGTCGATTAGTTGACTACTTTTGAGGTATTGAATCAGCGAATAGTTGGTCATAATCAACTTGTTTATTTCCTTCAAAAGTTATCTACACAATAAATAGTATATATATACATATATAAATGTGAAGGTTGATGAGATCCTACAAAAAGAATGTTTACTTTTACGTTTAATTTTTTTATCTTATCTCAAATTATACCTAAAATAGTGTTCCTAAAATGTCAATGAATATCAAAAATATTCAGATAACTTGCTTTGACATCTTGATATACCCAACTACTTCAATAAAATATACGCTTCTGTGGATTTTGACATATCGATAAGACACTGTTTATCTCGGTTCCTCTGAAGGAAAATTAGATTTTATACAAAACCAATATTGTTTAGCATGCATAAACTGAAATCGGTTACACTGAGAAATGTACAGATGGCTTTCTGTTATAACTTTGGGAATATAAAATAAAATAAATTATATTAAATTAAAAGCGCTTCTTAGCTATTTAAGTATTGTAGGACAAATATAACCAGTTTCTTGTCTCTTAAATTGTATCCAGAAATTTTATGCTAGCTATTCCCCGAAACTTCATATTCATATTCAGTTATTTGCATACCATAAAGTAAATAAGGTCTTACAATATGCTTAAAGCTAAGTAGGTACATTTATGGACCCCGTAGGGCACAGCAACATTTGATAAAAGATAAAACTTCTTAGGTACAAAGATCCCAGCTTTTCCCATCTCTGGAAACACCATTTTGTCTAAACGCTGTAACTTTGTATTATTTCACTAGTTATAAAAAAAAAACAATATTGTAACGATAGTTATAAATACTACAAAGATTTATTTATTGTTCCATTGCTGTATAAATAACACATTTATACAAGAACTAACACACGTGTGTATGTTAGGAGCAAATCGTTTAACGTTTTTCATACGATTCAATTAATTTCCAAAGCAATTACTCTCGAAGCGCCTTGTGTGTTAGCTGACCAGTCGACCTTAGCCCGAGAGCCAGCGATCTGAACTACAAACTGCATAAGAATGAGGCCGAGCTCCTGTACTATGCTAGTTGAACTCAAATATTTTATAACTATCGGAATAACTTTAAGTGTTTGCAATCGGATATTTTTTTTATTGTTCTACTTAGTATACTTAGTATTATTATGTTTTGCTATGAGTGCCTCAGTGGCCGAGTGGTCGCAAGTGCGACTGCCGGTCTCGGGTTCGGTTCACGGGTCGGGCAAGGTATTACTAGGTTTGCAAAAACCTCAGTAGTAGCACGGAGTCTGGAAATGTGCCCGGTATATGGCAATAGGCTATTACATGGGACTCATAATATAATTAGTGAAAAGTGGGTGTTACTTTGTACAGTGGCATTAATTGCCGTAATGTGCATCTCTACCTACCCCTTCGGGGATAAAAGGCGTGATGTTATGTTATGTGGGTTATGATATGTGTACTACCTTGGTGGATAGCCAAGTGCTCATTAATATGGTAATAAAAACACCTAAAGGATTTCAGATGACAAATTATGATAGAGATCTCCGATTTATTAAGCTTTGAGAATTATAGAACTGTGTTTTGTGTCCGATGTATGGCAAAAGACCGTCACCTTATTAGAGAGTCACTAATTTTATATAACCTGACAACAATAATCGATATAAAAAATTAAACTGGAATTATATTAACAATCTTATCCCAAAAAAAGTGGAACTATACAAAGAATCTTGGAAAATATTTGTACTCGTGTTTCGTCCATAAATAAAACAGTTTTCAGTTTTCACTTCATGAATACTTAACAAGAAAAATAAAACTGGAACCGTTGTGAGCAGCGTCGGCATCAATCCCATACAATCCCGCGTTAAATGGGATTACCAATATGCTTACATAACAGAAACTGTAAACAGCCCTTTCTCACATTTCTATGTATGTACATTGTACAAATATTTTCATAAAATAGGATAGACACGTCTTGTATTCCCAGAAGTTCGACTTATATAAAGGTACTCATGTTAAGTGGCTTTTTGATACAAGCCATGTATCAGATAAACCTATTATCCAGTTTGCCTCGGAAACTGAGGATTATAGTCCTTTTTTTATGGTATTAGCCGGTAAACAAGCAGACGGATCACCTGATGGTAAGCAATCGTCGCCGCCCATGGACACCTGGAACACCGAGGCGTTTCAAGTGCGTTACAGGTTTTTTGGGAATTGGGAATTTGAGAATTGTGGAGGATTCGAGAATTGGGAAGACTGGGGAGGGGGGGCGTACAAGTGTTGTTCCATGTCGGTTTTCTTTGAGGCTGTGGTATCACTCTGGTCGAGCTGGCCCATACGTGCCGAAGCATGGCTCTCCCACACTTACGTCTTAGTCCTAAGTATATCCAACCTTTTTGTCAAACACTCTAAATGAATTAAATGACTAGTACTTGCTAATCTCTTACGAGACTATAATCTTGAAGAGCTCATCTTCTTCTTGTAGAATGGGGAGAATTCCAGGTTCCATAACACACTGTCATCTTTGTCCATGTTTAGTATCTTATATCCCACAATAGATATAACAAAAAGTAAGTTTCATATTTCATAATTATGATCTACAACTCTGTCTACCCCATTATAATAAAAGACTGGGAAAAAAATTCAACTTTTAACTTAAACTTCAATTTTTCATATACCGTTCGTTATGTTTTTAATGAAATTGGCTGCTACGTAATTTAATTGCCTTCAATCCGTGATGGAACGAGGTATAATATTAAAAATATTGTACCTCTACTATGAACACGATCTGTAAAGCTCTGCTCTTTTCATTATACAGTAAAATAAAATCGCAATAAGTGGTTCACTTAGATTAATTGATTTATATAATATAATACCTTTCCAAAAACGTAAAATTAAAGTATTAAAAAAACACAGATAATATTTTTACACGCTTTTTTAACTTATTTTTTTTTGGCATACATAAATAGAATTCCTTTTCGTATAATTCTTCACACAATCCATTTATGTTTTCTTTAATCTTTTTCTACGATCCCAAATAATACATCCCACATACAACCTAATCAAATAAAAATCAATGCTAATCAAATACACGTCTAACGTCGTGAGTGACCCTTTCAATAACGTAACGTAATTATCCTACGTCAACGTAAAATGATACGAACATGGACACCTCGTAATTTGTAAACCATTGTTTTAATATGGCACAATAGAGACTCTTCGTCGCGTTGTAAAAAGAAAAAAATTATGACCATAGATGTTTTATTTTTTATTGCCAACTGACAGCTATAGACTAGTTTTTCCCGCCCTAGACATGCACAGATAATTTTATCTGACCTAATTACTCATGTGAGATACCTTTGATGCTTAGATAAGTTTTTCTACATTATCTCAACGTTTTTGACCCCGATAACTAAGCTGAATGATTGGTTATTGACAGGTGCAATAAAATTCAAATACCTTGTATCAGTATGTGAGTGAGTCTTGATATTTTTATGCGCCACGCGATCAAAAGATGATCAGTAGTCACAGAATAAATGCATTCTGTCAAAATCTCTATTTTAATTTTATTAGTAAGTTGAGCGTTGCCAACACGTGTTAATAATTATTTGAAACCGCATATTTTAAATTTACCCGATAACTAATTAACAGTGGTAACTAATTAATTATCAGGTAACTAATTAATTATAAATACCTACACACTTAGGTAATGAAAAAAACTATTGAATAGACATTAAAAAGATGCTTGAAATATTAGTAAAAAGCCAGTATACGCATTATCAGTTGCGTACAAATTTCTGTAACAGAGCTAAATTAAACATTTAATAGCTGTTCAGTTAAAACAATCTTAAAATATGTAATATAAATTTAATGTTTCATTGTAGAGACAAGGGATTGTGCATATTTGTTTTTCAAAGAAATATTTATCAAGTATATCAGCCGTGTGTTTCCTCAGTTATCTGCTATTTTCGTTGTCAGTCAGAGGGCGAGAGCGCGCGCGATTGGACGCCCGGTCAGTCGATACGTCACGCCAGCCACGATCGTGTTTTCTTAGTTTTTCTTCGTTACGTTGTTCACATAAAAAGTGGTTTAATTAAACAAACGAATTACTAAAACTACAATTTAATACTGTGTGAATTTATTTGCCTTTGTTATCAACAGTAAGTAAGTGTTATTTCTTTTGTTTTTTTGTTTTGATACTGAAAAATTGAACGTTCGCCGTGATTTATGATATAACCTTTATTACTATGATTTTTTTATTTTATTTTCCTCAACCGTAGCAAACATTATCCGCAGAAATGCTTGTTTTATTTAATTTCGTTCGACTCAAACAACAAAACATTGAAACACGTGCGCCAATTGTTATTTTTGGCGCGCATCTGACATGCAGTTTTTACAAAACAATGGCGGTTAGCCGGAAGGCTTGCAGTTTTGTTTTGTTTTATCATGCCGGATGTTACAAACGTGTTACAATTATAAACAATATTTAGAGCAAAAATGTCCAGTATGAATAACATTTTAGTCGTCTTTGTTGCAAATATAACATCAGTAGGTAATTTTGATTAAAAGTCATATCATTTGTGGCATTATTTGCAGTAAGTAGTGCGCTAAATATACAGAAAAAAAACAAAACAATGAGTATTTAATAAACATAGATTGGTAATCACGCATTATGCACTGAATACACCTCATTTACTTAATTGGTTTTATCACTTCCTTTGTTTGAAGTTTTGTTTACTACTTTGAATTAGTTTGTTAGTGACTAATGGTTCGCAATGAGGCCATTGATAATCGTTCTTCCGTAGTACTACGTCTGACACACTGAGAAGATATTACATTGGATGAATGTTCACTGTACAGTGGTAATTGGTTATTTCGACAATTGTTATTGTCTGGAATCTCCGATAGTCCCGGATGACTCAACGTTCCCATTGAAAATTCTTCATAATTTAAAATGACTATACTATAGAAGGTCGTTCGTTGTTTTGGTGTTTATTTATAGTTAATTCATTGTTTTGATGCAGTTTGTTTAGTAGTTTGAACCCCGTAACAGAGCTATTTAGTTGATAGTATGATGATCATGCATTTGTTAGTGGAGCTACTCTAGGAGTTGAGCCAAACATTCATTTTTCTAAAATAGAATGTTCTATCACACAGTGTAAAATCTCTTCGTTTACAAGTTGTCAATCTTTTCATTTAACAATAAATATAATTATCTAATACTTCTAGCGACAGTTACGCCCCCTATTTCATGAAAATAACAATATAATTTACATAACAAACAAGTCTATCTTCTACTACTTAAGAGAACGATTTTTTATTCCAGTAATGTTATGTTTTTATGCGGTTAGGTATGTTATTCTAGTACTTTTACGATAACCACATACTTTGTCTCATAATATTACGAGCCCTAACATTCTCGCAGCTGTTGCGATCTCAGCAAACCATATTGTATTTTATAAAATGTCACAATCTTTTACTTTTCAAAAAATATCGCCGTATTTATTTTTCTGTTCAATTTAATCTTTCATAGCAAGATAAAAGTACTGTAATCTTGAATCTGCATACAGAAATAGCGCAGCTCAGTGACATTTCGACGTTATCAGTAAATAAATGGATTTGCTGGGGATGTTTATTATAAAAATCATAACTTAACATCATGCGTTTTATTCTCCGAAGTACAATCAGAATTTGACCTAAGTTCACTTTTTCTGTATTATGTTTTAAAAGGCAAGGCAAGACTATTAGCGTATATCAGGCGCAGTTCCAAAATAAGAGATCAACTATTCCACTCTACTAACAATCATATTGATAAGGCATTAAGTTGCTATGCCTGCAATGCCCTGTCTCTTATATAAGGTAGATTAGGAGACAAAGCATTAAGTGTGCCAATGTGCATTTTATACATAAGTTGACTTACCATCAGATGATGCGTCTACTAGTTTGTTCCCGATTCCATAAAATAATTAAAATAATTGTAGGTATCGTTAAAAAAATAATCTTTAGGTAAAATTCAAAGATTTTATCTACCCATGTCAGGACTTTATCTTGAATCTTCCAATTAATTTGGGGTCAACTTCAAGACTTATCGGATATCAGAATTATCCCATTAATTATATTGATAAATTAAAAATATACAGTACATAATTATGCCTCCATTAATAAGTACTGCGCCGTGATTTCTTACGCATGTTCCACTCCTAATTGTTGTAACATAATACTAGATAGCCTCTAACCTTAATTAAAAATTAGGCTATCAACTAAAGACAGATATTTTGGAATCCGACTTCCAACTGGTTCCATTGATAAGCAAGTATAAATAAACCAGACAGGACTTTTTTTACTGACATACCTAATAATCAGGACGTACACACACATTCATAAAATTTTAGGTCCTGAAAAAAGATGTTAAATACAATAAACGTAGGACCTCTCCCTAGGAAGTAAGGACAGATTTTTAACCTATACGAGTAGTGGTACACTATAGAATAAATTTTAACATTAGTTCCACGTAAAACAGCTCAAAATTATGCTTCTTGTAGCCAAATCTATTCCAAGATAGATTATTGAAACTAACCGATAGTAAACTTGAAAGGGTAAATCTACTTATAAGTTGAAACTTCTCAAACACAAGTAATGTTGTGTAACATTGAGGATGGACAAAGATGGACATTATTCGATCACCTCTCTGGCCCTATTGACTTTGGACCTGGCACTGATAACCCGGTAATGCTGTTTGCATTTGATAACCAGCTCCAGATACTTTGAAATGAATTTTGCATCTCACATAGAACTGTTGAAGTTAAAATGTGACTTATGTAGAATTATTAAAATACCTTTTAGCGCAATTTTTATTAGAACACTTTAGAGATAGTATATTTGACTGAACTACCAATGGTTGAAGACGACATCTTTGAATAATGGTAATTTAACTGAATTTACAAAAAAAGCGTTCTGATATAGGGTGAGAAGAGTTGTTTTAGCTTAGGTATCTTTAACTGGTTGAAAAGAGAATGCGAATATTGACAAAAATACAAGTGTCAGATTACATTATTATTGCTTCGAAATTTTTGTGTTCTATTAACGACAACGTAAAACCTGCGAATATAATATCATTTTCAATTTTTCCACGTCAACTTCCATAGAAATGATCGATGAGACGGATCCGAATTTCAAACCGGACATTCTGGAAAGCTCCGGATATACCCCTATTACACAAGGTCTATCAATATTGATGTTTACATAACGGTATTAAAGTTGAGAATACGTAAGCAAATATTGATAAAATAATAGTGATGTAACAATGGACCGTTTGGGGTGTAGCAGGGAACAGAACTGACCTTTTTATCATCGAGTGATAACGCGTGCCACGCCACCGGCAAGAGGCAATCATGAAGTGCGTCACGACCTAAACTTTCGGTTAAAAACAAACATTTCAGTTCCGGATAAATTGTACTTTTACGTACTTATTTTATTTTACAATATATACAATGTCTTTCATGAATATGCATAACGGAATTTCCCTAAAACCCTATGTAAAGAAAGGGTTATATTTTTTCCAAGTACATGCAAAATTTAGGCACCACACAATGTAAAATATTATATCATTACTTAATTACTAAAAAAATTATTCCGTAATTTACTCTGTGCTTTATCAGCCAGTCTTATATTTATCACTATTTCCATATACTTACATTTGCACATAGATAATATAATTATGACATAATTAAATATTTCTGGAGAAATAGGCAAGTGTTACACCACGCACTCGCACGCATATATTAATTAGTCTCTTATAGCATTACAGACGAACCTATAGCCAATTACCGATCAGAACCCCAAACATTACTCAAAATTTCCTTTGGAATAAACTCTTTGTTCTCACATCCTACACCTACTGCCAGTTGACAAATGAAACAACCAATAATGTATATGTAGGATCAGGGTCCGACATTATTTGAAAATAAAACAAAGAGCTTCACACAATCACTTAGTTTATTTCGATTAAATGAACTTACTTTCACATTAATTTTTAATTATAATAATTGAATAATTCAGCACTGATTATATAAAGGAAACACTCAAATAAAACCAACAATAAAATTACTCAGCGATTGCGTAACGTGTGAACTGGGCAACGATCGACGAACGACTGACTCGAGCTTGCGCTTGCGCTGCTTTATATATCACTCGGTGGTGGGGTTGAAGTGACGTCGGTCAGTTGTTTGTTCACTGCTCGCCCATTACATTCGCAGTTTACAAAATAATGACGGCGGCGCCGACACGGCCATACTGACGTACGCTCGTCCTCGAGCGTTTTCCGAGCATCTGGGAATAAGATAACAACCCGTTCGATCATCCTGGCATTTCTAATCTCTATCTAGTATAACCTTTAACAAAAGCTTTCAATATTGTGCGGGTTCGGTTAACCCTTCAGCTTACCACAACTACTACGTTATCATCACTCATCAGTATTAGAACTGGAGACGATTGTGCTAGGCCGGATAAATATCCCTTTAGCGCATGCTAGACTGGACATCAGTCCCTTTAGCGAATGCTAGACTGGACATCAGTCCCTTTAGCGAATGCTAGACTAGACATCAGTCCCTTTAGCGTATGCTAGACTGGACATCAGTCCCTTTAGCTGAGTCATTGGACCGGATTTTCCCTTCAATGACTCTTTCTTACATTTTTTGTTACTTTTTTTTTTACTTTTTTTTTACTTTTTTTTTACTTTTTTTTTACTTTTTTTTTCTCTTTTTTTTTACTTTTTTTTGTCACTTTTTTTTTCTTCCTTTTTTTTTAAATTTTATAAATAAGTAATCAGTTACAACACTCATTCACTCTGGTAAATCTGATGATGGACTTTCCATACTATTACTAGTACGTGAACTAGCCGATACAGTGCTGCTATTAACAGATATAGTGTCGCTATTAACAGATATAGTGTCGCTATTAACAGATATAGTGTCGCTATCGGAAAGTTCATCCTCAGCATCATCAATCACAGCTATGTCACACAGTATATTATTACCGCGATCAGTTTCATGGACAAAATCACTCTGGCTATCATCCGCCGTCACGTCATCATCATAACTTTCGGCTATTTCTATAAAACCTAATGGACCGCGGAGTACCTCGCGTAAGTTCTCATGGGCGACCTT